CGTTAACGAAGATTCTTATAACGAAGTCCTGATCGGCTGGATCAGCAACTTCGTTATATCGAGGTGTGACTGTATATTTTAAAATATTTAAAAATGATTATAATTAATAAATAAAATTGCTTACAAATTTATAGGTAAAACAGTTAAAAGGATAGAAATAAGAATTTATAAAATATTATATTTAAAATTGTTAAATAAAACTTAAAAAATTTTGCAAATTGTCTAAATAATAAAAGATAAAATTTAATAAAATTATATTAAAAATTAATAAAAAATATTTAAAACTTAAAAAATGTTAAACTATATTAAAATTTATAAAAATAGTGAAATTATATTAAACTAACACTGGTTAAAATATAATAATCCAGATAAGTTTCAATATACTGAATTATGTTTAGAATATTACTTAATTAAGAAATCCAAAATATACTGGATTTTGACTGTATGATAGATAAGATCAGAATAAGATCAGATATAATTCAATTCTAGACAATAGATAAGATTAGATATAATTTGGACTTATACATATTTCTGAATTATATCTGAATTTCTTAAAATTATATAACATACACTGATCATAAATTAGCACAATAATCTATCAAATTTTGAAAAATCCATTTTATCTGAATTACATATGATTTAAGTATGATTTCATTTTACAATTTGTATGTATTATCTTTCTATTATAATCTTATTATCCGCTATTAAATATTAATCAATATAAATATAAAGTATAAATAAAAATGCAAATTAAAATAAAGCAAATAAAGCGAAATAATATACGACTATTAAAAAATTCATAAATAATTCTTATTTCTGTATTCTATTTGATTTTCTTGTCATTGGTCTTGTATTCAAATAATTTTTTCTTTTTCTTTTTTCTTGTTAATTTATGCACAAGTTTTATAAAAACAATAATAAAAATTAGTTAAGGAATTAACATTTATATCATTAAATAATATATGATATATTACTATTATTTGATTTAACATTAGCGGACGATGATCGATTAGCAGCAGTAATCATAATATTAGCCATAGGTGATTTTTGAATATTATAATTAATATCATCATCATCATTATTAATAAAAAAGTCAATCATTTAAGTAATTAAAAAAACAGTAATGTGATTAACCAGCAATAAGTTACAGATTGGTTATTTAATATCGACAAATATAAATAAGATTAGACTGAATCCATACTAGATGAGTATTTGAGTGAGGCAAAAATATCAGTAGATCTAATAGGTAGTGTTATTTTAGAACCAGAAGCTTGAGCATCATCTTCAGGATCATCTATTAATTAATATACATTATATATAAAATTGAATTTATATTTAAATAATTTAAACTTTTACCAGCTGCTGAATTATTTCCATTTAAATCTGAATTAATCATCTAAGCTGAAAACCATTTCTTTAGTTTTGAACTATTCTTATATATGACTGGGTTTAAATCCCATCTTTTTTTTTGTGGTTTAATATAAACTTTATTGATAACAGTTTTATCGAATCATTCATGCAAAATGACCTGCAACTAAAATCAAATATAAAAAATTAAAAGATACAAATAAAGAATCAAATAAATTTAAAATAAAAAAATACCAAATCAGATCTCCAAGCTGATTCTTCAATTTTAATAATATGATTATTATCTGTAATTCCATTAAAGACTCTAACATTATTATCATGTTCTTATTGTGCAAGATCGTCATCAGTTTCTGAATTCTCATTTGAATTTACATCAGAATCTCTAACTAATGTTTCTAAATCTTTAAACAACTTATCTTGATTAGAATAAGAAAGAATATCAAATCACAGATCATCCCTCTTCATCTTATTTAGATCACATATTCTATGACTAATCTTCTATTAATATAAATAAATATAAATCAAAACGTATTGTTAATTATTAAGATATATAAGGCATATTATTATACAAAGTTATATTTGTTCGTTTTTGATTTTTGTGTTGTCTCCTCTTATTTTTTTGTTTTTGATTGAATTGACTTGAACTTGACTATTTCCTTTTTGATGTCGCAATCATTTCTGAAGAAAATAACAAATTATTATTTGATATTTTAATTGAAACTTGTCTTTTAGTTCCTTATATATATAAGAAATAGCTTTTCCAGTTATTTCGTTGCTCTGTTCAGACCATTTTTTATTCAGATTTATTTGAAAACTGAATCTAATTGCTTGTGAAGATTAAAAATTTCTTGCTATAAATAGTATATCGATTATATTAGTTCTTTATTATGATTGATATATAAAATATATTATATAATAGGATACTTACACAAAGTGAATTTTTGACTTCAGAATCTAACTTATCTATTATTAAACCAGTTCCAGTTTTTACAAAGTCTTTTGGAGTAGATATGACTAATGTTGATTTTGCTTGTTACTTTCCTTTAGTTATTTGGTTTACATGAGAAATGCCATCATTATCATTGTTAGATTCATTCAGAATCACAGGATGAATAGACTCTATTCTTTCTTTCTGTAAAAGTTAGATTTAGTGCATCATCATTTCTATTTGTTCTGAAATAAATTTAGTTAAGTATATTGATATGTTTATCATAATTATTACACACAAATTAGAATATTTACGTTTCAACTTGACTATTTTTGAATGTTTTTTTTCTGGATTGTCTTTTTTTTTATTTTTAACGTATCCAATTATTTTTGTAGTAGTTCTAATTTTCTACTATCAACACTACTATCTGAAGTATTGCTAGATGAACTATCTTCTAATAAATTAGACAGGGAGCCTATTTTCTTATGATTTCTAACATATTATCTAATGATTTCTTGTGGATAATAATAAATCAAATGAAATAAACAATCATGAAACATGGTCAAAATTATGAAATAAATAGTTAGTAAATGAAAGAAAGAATTTGTTAGCGAACATGTTAATAAAAATGATAAAAATAATATTTTTTAATCTGAAAAAGTAGTTTTAAATAATAATTAAAACTTCAGTATTACCATCCAAATTTGAGAAAGGCATTTTTTTCTTGGAGGTTCTTACTTTTATATTTTTTTTACGTAAAATAAGAAACTAATAAAAGAAAAAAAAGGAATCGGTAATTAATTATAATAATTTAAAGTTAATTATACAGTATATTATATATTAAAATAAACTATAAAATGTATTATTTAAAATAAAGTATATGATTATTAAAGCATAATTTAAAGTAGACTATCAAATAACCATTTAATACTAATAAATTTTTAAATAAATTATTTACATGTATTCTGATCAGACTATTTGCAAATTTTACATTTTTAAAAGTTTTAACATTTTTCTGAAAAAAATATAAGAGAAAATGGTTCTATCTAGAAAAAATAATCTTTTGAGCTCACATAAACATGTTTCATGCACTTGCCATTTATGTAATAATAAATTGGTAGATCTAAGAACTAGAAAAAAATATTACAATCAAGTTCAAAAGTGATCAACTATCTTAAATAAAATACAAAATAACGATGGTCAAAAATCATTTAAGACAATTATATCACAAGTAATACTTCTAAATTTCATACAAATATATAAAACAAATAATAATGTTGAATCTTCTATTGTACAACCTATTAATCTGGATACTGGATATGATTCAATTGAATCTTCCATAACAACAGATAACATAAATCAGATTATTATTCCTGAAGAATGTAATACATTAGATTAAAGCTCAAATAGTTCAAATATTACTCAAAATGCAATAAAATAGATAAATTTCACTTACCAGATATTATACTATTAATTTTTAATGAAACTGAGACTGATGACAAATCTGAATCAGAAGAATCGGTTAAACTAGATTCAGAAATCAATCAAGAACAAAAATCTAAATCTGGACTAGATTTAGAACAAGAAGACAATTTAGACCATTCATGATTTATTGTATCAGAATTTAATAATGAATCTGAGTTAATATACAATAAAAACGATCAAGAAGATTTTGACTGAATTTTACTTTGGATATTCAAATACCAATCCTGATTCAAGCTTTCAAATACATTAATAGAAGCTCTTATAAATTTTTCTGAACAATATTATGTAGTATAAATTCTATAAAATTCGAATGATTTCTAGCTTTTTTATATATATCTTGGAAGAAATTAAGTCTTTATAATAAAATTCAATCATATACTGCTTGTACAGCATGTCATAAACTATATAATACACAAGAATTAATAAATCAAAAATTAGATATAAACTGTTCAAATGTAGAATTTCTGAATTATTCTCAAGAAAGAATGTGATAAGCATGTAATACGCCACTTTTAAAAAGCATTCAGATATCAAAAGAAACTATATTTTGGCCTAACATTGTTTTCCCAATAGCTAATATTAAAGAACAACTATTTAAGTTTTATCAATGACTGAATTTTAAATGATTGCTGAGACAATAGATTGATAACAATACTGATTCTAATTTTATTTCAGATATTTATGATGGGAAATTATGAAAAGAATTCAAAACTGATAATTGTGAATTATTTTTTACTCCAGCTATTGTAGACACAAATCTCAGCATAATGCTTAACCTTAACTGATTTCAACCATTTGACTATTTCAATATAGTATTGAAGTGATATATAGAGTAATTTATAACTTACCAAAAGAGAAACGATTTAAACCCTAAAACACAATAACAATTGCTATCCTTTCTGATTCAAACGAAGCTTCAAAATACAAAATTAATAACTATTTTTTTCTAGTTATTGATCAGCTTCTTGAACTATAGAATGGATTTCAAATGCTAGCAATTAGTTAATATTTGTATAAAAGAATTATTAAATGTGCTCTAATTGCTTGTTTGTGTGATGCTTCAGCTGCTAGAAAGTTATACAAACATGTAAGCTTCTAAAAGGCATATCACAGGTATAAGAAAACTACAAATTATTCAAACAATCAGCTGAATTTCAGAGGATTCAATAATATAGATCAATGGTTTATTAGTTAAGACCCATCAGAACATCAGAAAATGCGCAAGAATGGTTGAAATATAGAACAGAAGAGTCAAGAAAGCAGCATGTTTTAACTAAATTAGCTAGATGGTCGGAATTGCTCAGGTTATCTTATTTTGATCTGATTCAATTCTTGGTCATAGATCTGATGCATTGCTTATTTATAAAAATTGCTAAAATAATAATAAAAACACTTTGGATTGATAGTGGTATTATTAATAATAATCAATTAAAATTAATTCAATCACAATGTGAAAAATATGGATACCTTCGAATATAGGTCAAATTCTAACTAAAATTACCACTAGAAGTGGATTTTTTGGGTATACTGCTGATCAGTGGAAGTCATTTATTATGTATTATACTACTGCGATGATATGACATCTATTGCCAGAATAAGATCAAAAAATTCTTGCTAATTTTATACAAGCATATTATATTTTGGTTAGCCAAGTTATTAATTTGAATGATTTAGAAGAAGCTCAGAGTTGTCTTACTCAGGTCTGTAAACTTATCAAACAAAAATATGAATCTAATAATATAATGCCAAATTTACATTTGAGCTCGGATAAAATTTGCATCAAATTCTCCATCTGACGCGACGAACCAACAAGAAGTATCCTGTAATTGAGACGAAGAAAA